TTTTTATTTAAATCATTTTAAATCAATGATTTTTGTTTTTTTTTTTTAAATCAATTTGCCCAACCCTGGTATACCGACTCTCTGACTCTTGTTGACTAACAATGTTCATAATTATCTTTAGGTACATCAATGTTGTGTCTGATGATGGCCTGTGGCCGAAACTAGTTACACTACTTATATTAAATAATTTTTCGTGGTCGACAGACTTTGGGACTTTTATTGTTTATTCTTATGAAAATCATTTGGACCACTTTGAGAAATATGGATGGTTTCCATGATTTAGTACTAAACTTTCCCATTTTCCTAATTTTTTAATTTCCATTTTTACAGAGCGCCAGGTCCGGCTCGCTGCTTCTAACCGCCGCCAACCTCGCCCAAATCCAGCCGGACCCCGAAGACCCTCATACCGCCCGCGCCCACAACCTCCGGCTCTACCTGCACCAGACGGCCGCGGGCGGTCCACCTCCCCTATGTACCGCCCCCGACAAAAAGGCCGCCCCCGAGAAAAAGGATCTAGATAGCGTGTCGGTGGCTAGCAGTACGCATTTCACGGTGGTGAATGTGAATCAGAGGCCGAGTCAGGCGAAGAGGAGTTTTTGCAGGAGGCACCAGCTGACGATGCTGGTGATGACTATGTCGGGGTTGATTACCGCGGGGATACTGACGGCCATTTTGTTGTTAGAAAGTAAGTATGGGGCACTGTTTCTAGTTGGAAACGTTCAGTACTTTTTGCGAGGGGCTAATCACGGCTCAACAACGTGTACAGTAAATTTTCCATTGGGAAAAACTTCCCAAACTTGCTCAAACTCTTAGAACTTCTCATAGTTTACCCAAACGGTCTCAAACTTCCATGAACACCCTTGTACTATTTTCCACAAACATCCTCAGATCTTCTAAAACTTCAACGCCTTTTCTCATACTTCCCTAAATCAGGCAAAGAAGGGTTCTTGCAGGAGGCACCAGCTGACAATGCTGGTGATGACTATGTCGGGGTTGATTACCGCGGGGATACTGACGGCCATTTTGTTGTTAGAAAGTAAGTATGGGGCACTGTTTCTAGTTGGAAACGTTCAGTAATTTTTACGTTGGGCTAAACACGGCCCAACAACTTGTACAGTAAATTTTCCATTGAGAAAATCTTCCCAAACTTGCTCAAACTTCTAGAACTTCTCAAAGTTTACCCAAACGTTCTCAAACTTCCATGAACACCCTTGTACTATTTTCCACAAACTTCCCCAGATTTTCCAAAACTACAACGACTTTTCTTATACTTCCTTAAATCAGGCAAAGAAGGGTTTTTGCAGGAGGCACCAGCTGACGGCCATTTTGTTGTTAGAAAGTAAGTATGGGGCACTGTTTCTAGTTGAAAACTTTCAGTACTTTTTACAAGGGGCTAATCACGGCCCAACAACGTGTACAGTAAATTTTCCATTGGGAAAATCTTCCCAAACTTGCTCAAACTTCTAGAACTTCTCAAAGTTTAACCCAAACGGTCTCAAACTTCCATGAACACCCTTGTACTATTTTCCACAAACATCCTCAGATCTTCTAAAACTTCAACGCCTTTTCTCATACTTCCTTAAATCAGGCAAAGAAGGGTTTTTGCAGGAGGCACCAGCTGACGGCCATTTTGTTGTTAGAAAGTAAGTATGGGGCACTGTTTCTAGTTGGAAACTTTCAGTACTTTTTACGAGGGGCTAATCACGGCCCAACAACGTGTACAGTAAATTTTCCATTGGGAAAAACTTCCCAAACTTGCTCAAACTTCTAGAACTTCTCATAGTTTACCCAAACGTTCTCAAACTTCCATGAACACCCTTGTACTATTTTCCACAAACTTCCTCAGATTTTCCCAAACTTCAACGCCTTTTCTCATACTTCCCTAAATCAGGCAAAGAAGGGTTTTTGCAGAAGGCACCAGCTGACGATGCTGGTGATGACTATGTCGGGGTTGATTACCGCGGGGATACTGACGGCCATTTTATTGTTAGAAAGTAAGTATGGGGCACTGTTTCTAGTTGGAAACGTTCAGTAATTTTTACGTGGGGCTAAACATGGCCCAACAACTTGTACAATAAATTTTCCATTGAGAAAAACTCCCCAAACTTGCTCAAACTCTTAGAACTTCTCATAGTTTACCCAAACGGTCTCAAACTTCCATGAACACCCTTGTACTATTTTCCACAAACATGCTCAGATCTTCTGAAACTTCAACGCCTTTTCTCATACTTCCTTAAATCAGGCAAAGAAGGGTTTTTGCAGGAGGCACTAGCTGACGATGCTGGTGATGACTATGTCGGGGTTGATTACCGCGGGGATACTGACGGCCATTTTGTTGTTAGAAAGTAAGTATGGGGCACTGTTTCTAGTTGGAAACTTTCAATCCTTTTTACGAGGGGCTAATCACGGCCCAACAACGTGTACAGTAAATTTTCCATTGGGAAAGGTAAAGAGGTAAACCGCGGTCAAAATTTGTTTACACCAAACATCAATTTCACAAGGAATTCTAATTGTTTGTACACCAGAATTATATCGCACTTCACACAAGGATTCCCAAGAAACTCCAAGGAATTCCAAGGAAATCCAAAGAATTACAAGGAATATCAAGGAATTCCAAGGATATCCAAGGAATTTCAATAGCGCACTCCACCCAAAGAATTTCAAGGAAATCCAAAGAAATCCAAGGAATTCCAAGGAATTCTAAGGAATTTTAATGAATTCCAAGGAATTTTAAGGAAATCCAGTTGTTTGTAGACCAGTAATATACCGCACGTCACCCAAGGAATTCCAAGGAAATCCAAGGAATTCCAAAGAAATCCAACTTCCCGAACTTCTCAATTCCCTCGAACTTCCAACTTCTCTAAATTCACCGAAGTTCCTCAAACTTCCTAAAACTTTCGAGAACATGCCCAAACTTACTTGAACCTGTACACTGAACTCCCACATAGTGATGGGTGATACCCGGGTATTTATGATTAACGGTAAATACCCAGGAGCTGGGTATTTATAAACTTTTCAACAGAAAACATGGAAAATTGCTGTTTATTACCGAGTTTATTACACTATTTTCGCAAGTTTAATGTCAAAACAGGTCTTTGAATTTACCAAAATTCTAGAGAGCCAAAAACTCTGACAAAAACAATGTTTAGATTGAATGTGAAGATTGAAAAAAAAACTACCCACTTATAAAGCAAAATGAAACTTTTTGAGTACATTATTTTGCAATTTCTTGACATTTGGGTGTTTGCATTCTGTTTTACAGTACTTACATTCAACACCTTTTTTTTTCTATAGTAAATCAAGACCCAGCTGGATCTCTCTTTTTCATCATTTTATTCAGATTTGTGGCAAAGTACAGAAGTGAAACTGTGAAATTGAGGTTATATTATTGTTTCTCTTTTTTTCTGCTTCTTTTTTTATTACCTGACGGGATGTCAAACATTTTACAACGTTTACAGGGCGGTTTTGTGCTGTTGACAATATCAAATCGTTTTTTTTTTGGGTGGGTATTTATCATTAGGGTAAATACCTGGATGAATGCCCAATTTATGAATACCCAGCTACTGGGTAAATACCCACGGCCCATCACTACTCCCACCTGTTTGATGTTGATATTTATGTGGAAATTTTGAACATGTTTCTCGGAAATATAGCCAATATGATTTGTGACAAAATTTGATGAATTTAATTTTTCAAAGCATTTCTAATTGAAATATTATTCAGGAGAAGAAGCTAACTTTTTGGGAGTATATGTATTTTTTTATTGTACTCTGCATTTTTGGTGACATTCCATTTGTTTCTGTAATTAATGTAAAAACTTTACTGGATATATTCTCATGTTTCTCCCATGAACAAGACGTGAAAAAGGATATTTTTGGACAGTTTGAAACAAGTTTTCTGAAGAAACCTGTTTTTTTTTTTCAACAAAATAATGATCCATTTTTCTAATGAAATCAGTTAGGGACATTTTAGGTGTAAAACAAAACTAAATTTGGCATGAAAAATTGTCATATTCCCGAAAAATTTCAAACTAGAATAGACTATGACCAACATGAACTGCCACCTAGTGAGCAAATGCATTCAATATTTATGACCACTGGGGAAACTATTGATGTTTAGGTAATACCTTCTGATTTGTTGATTTTTAATAATTTTTCTTTGTTTCAGTGAGAGCTCAGAACCAAAAGCACTGACCAATTGCCAATAGAGAAGAAGTACAAGGAATTTACCAATATGGCATTACTTGAAGACCTCTCAACAATTCTCATGGAGAATTTGAGGTCATTAGTTCTGAATACTACCAATTAGTAAATATTATTTATGAAATTATTTAATTAAATACTTAATAGTTGTGTATATAAAAACAATCAAACTAAATGTATTGATGAAAAAAGAACATCATCAAAAGTTTGTTTTGTTTTTCTAATGTTTTACTAGTACAAAAATGAGGGAATTTTTTTCAAATCTATGTCATTTGCCATAATGCTGTACCTATAGGTAGTATTAGCAAGTTCAATCCTTCTAGTGAAATATATTCATTTTTATAAATTGAATTACATAGACAAAATAAGCATTTTTGGAATATCTAGTGTGCCTTATGAAATGAATGAAGCCTCAGGCATAAAATAACTATCTAAGTTTATTTTTACTGTGATATGTCAATCATACTTTATAGTTAATATTTATGTCTCTTTTTTTTGATATCTGCATCAATGTTGAATAACAATAATTGCTGCAGGAATTGTTTCTTAAATTTGTGTAAAATTAAATTATCACAAGTTTTCTCAAGTTTATTTACCCATCAATTTTCCCTGAATGAAATTTTCTTTGCACCTGAATTCACAAAAAAATTCTTGTGATTATTCAGTTCAAGAAAACAGGTGAGTGAAATAAGTCATCCAAATTATTGGTGATTTGTTTGTTACAAAAACCACTTTTGGACATTCTGTATACACACTGACAATGACAAATTCTTTTAGTAAAGTCATGCAATGACTCACCTCAATGTCTCCTAGAGTCTGTGTCCAATTGTACTTGTCCAAATCACATCCATTTCCTTTGTTAGGCAAGATTTTGCCTTTCTCTGACTCATCTTCATCTTCCTCAATTTTATTTGCATCTGAACTAGAGGCAGCAGGCTTTGTGTTAGCATTCTTCTTTGCATCTAGCTCAGCCTGAAGCTTTTCAGCTTCTGCATCAGTCAATTCAGTTATAGCAGCAGGTTTCACAGTTTCCTCTTCTACTTTTTTAGCTGCTGCTGCTTTTTTCCGATCATCTCGATCTTGCTTTTCTTTGAGCTCAATTTCGTGCTGTTCTCTGCTGATTCTTTCATACTTTCTGAATGTGCTCATAACCAGCTAGAAAAACAAGTTCATTGGAATGTGAAAAACTAAAATCAACAATTATCGTACCTTTTCCCATTCTCCTTCCTTTCCACCAGTGAAGAAGTCTGTTTTACGACCCAAGAAGTTAACGAAGGTATCTAAAAGCTGAAAATGGAATATTAAAACATTGAGGTTATAATAATATTGAACAAACATTACTTGCGATGCTCCTTCTGGATGATGCTGTGCAATTGAAAGGAAAAAAGAATCAAATTGTCCATTTCCTTCACCGTCTCCACTCATCATTGAACGTTTTGAAATTCAAAAATATCAAAAATATTGAAGAATATTTACAACAAAAAGCGGCAGAGCTGTTAACGTTCAAAATGTTTTAGTTTGTCATCCAGCAGTGTCAGCTGTCAATGTGAGTTATGTCAGGTGTGTGTCATTTTTTGGTTAATAAACGTGTCACAGGCTGATGGTTTTGTGGTTTCAACCACTACCATTTTGATAACTTAACCACCAGCTATCACCAGCTGTCACTTGTAGGTAAGTTACTAAAAAGTGAAAATGAAAAAGTTAAAAGTAACCATAAAGTTACTAATATTTGTGAATGGCTGAATTGAAATAATTTATATTTGATCTATTGTATTTTTGTGTGTTTATTATTACTAGATTGCTTGTTATCGTTGTTATTAACTCTCATTTAGCTCGTATGGGCTGTAAAAGTGAATTTTTATAGGAATTCTTTCGTAATAACAATACAGCTCTAAGTTTCTATTGATTACTTTAACAATAATTTATATAAAAGTAGGGTTATGTTAAAATACCTCATGCCAATTTCTTTATAAAATCAACTAGGATAAAGACTACTGAAAAAATGGCAGATACCAATTCCACTAACACAACTGTGATGAGCGAAATTTCTTCCCTTGTGAGAAAATGGGAAGATGAACACCAACAGCCAAACTATGACCCTGTACCTACACTTACAAGGTAAGGAGGTTCAGAAATATAGTGTAATATTCAAACAACTTTTAATATTTGCAGGTTGGCTGAGTTAGTTGAAGTGGAAACTGAGAACTACCTAAAGATGGACCCAGATCCATTTGATGAACGTCATCCTTCTAGGACTGATCCTCAATGTATTTTAGGCCAGATTCTAAAAGCACTGTTCAAAAAAGAGAACTTTACAAACAAGGTACCTAAATATTACACCAGCATTTCTTATAATCCAGATAACTGAATGAAGAAATTATTTCAGCTCATAGGTGACTACATGAGGGACACTTTTTACTCTCGCAGTGGTGTCATTGGGAGGGATACAGATCAATTGAACATAGCTGCCTGTAGATTGATGCTAGATATCATGCCAGGCTTAGATACTACTGTTGTATTCCAGGTGTGTTTTGTTACTTAGTTATACATGAGTGAGTGTTTTCTTGTTTTCTTCCAGCCTGAATCTGATAGTTTGATTAACCGTCTCATAAAATGGGTAACAAACTCTATTGAACCACTTCAAAGTTATGCTACTGGATTATTAGGGGCTGCCATGGAAATCCCAGAGATAGCAACAAAGTTTAGGGAGCCAAATAGTAAACTGATACCACTGCTTCTGCAGAGGATCAGGAGGTTGAAGAATTCCTCTGAATTTGTCAATAATGTTAGTTTCAACAGGCCCTTTGCCCATTTTTCTGTGATGAGGTCCCCACCATATAGAGCTGATGGTATTATTAGGTCCCCTCCATATAGAACAGATAGTATGATTCAGTCCCCTTTGCCTGTTACTAGTTGGAAAGGTATGTTTTGTTTTCATGTGTGCTTGACTGTTGATCAATCAAATACCTATATTTTTGCAGATCATGATAATGGTTTAATTATGAATAAAGATAATGGAAGCCAAGAAGGTCTGGCAACAGCATCTGGTACTCAGGTGAATTTTGAGATAGAAGGATCAGTCTGAATATTCATTATCATCTCACATTTTCTATTGTAGGTGTCTGATAGAGTTCATAAAAGAAAAAGTGCAACTGAAATTTCCCCAAATAGACTTGCAGAAACCTCAAAACCAGTAAGTACTGTGTGATAATGAATATTTATATGCTGCTCTGTCCTGACATCTATGTATTTGTACCTATGTTATGTGACCAAATCAAGGACCAAATATACTGTTTTACTCTAATAAAAATAATGATAATAAAAAAACAATTATGAAATTTCTGAAATATTCCAGGAAAAATTTTGAAATTTCTGAACACTCCTAGAGTTTTTAGATCTCTCAAGAACCATCTAGGACATTCTTGAAATTCTTTCAGTACCTAATCATAATCATTCTGGATCATTTATTCAAGTCCATTCATAGAGTTTCTAAATCATTTAAGGTCTATAGAAAACACTCTTGAAGTTTACTTTAAAACATTCCTGAAACATTTTAGATTATTCAAGTTAATTCTGGTTCATTTTAAAACATTTCTGACAATTTGAGAGCTACAAACAAATTCCTGAAATATCTAGAACCCTTGAGTCCATTCTTGAAATTCATTGAAATCTTAGAAAATTTGAGATCCTTATATACAGGCTGATTCATGTGGATGGCACATTGAACGTTTCTGGAGAATGCAACTCAGGATTATTCTGAAAAGCTGGTGTCTTGAATAATTAGTTGTGTTCTATTGACCTAAAATATTCCCAGCATTGCGACGTTGCCGCTTATATTGAAAAGTAGCAACAACTTTGATTTTTCAAAAGAGACACCCTATATATTATTCCATTCTCAGATTCTTCATGAAGAGCTGATTTCATTGACCTATAATACTTGGGGTCCAGCAGTAATAATTACAGAGTTATAGGATGTGAAAAATCGAGATTTTTCAACTTGATGAATTTTTAATGCATAATTGAGCTCTTTTTTATCTTGAAGGAGAGATTGAGAGGTTCTCTCCTCTTCCATCTCTCTGCAATGCTACCAACGTGGCCGCATTAAAATATAGAGAGGTCCGATAAATCTTTCCTTGTCTAACATCTACTTTGTGCCGCTGAACAATTTTTCAATTCAGCAGAGTGTCAAATTCAACGATATTAACAAATCATGTCGAATTGAGTATGATATAAATTAAAATTTCATTTTGAAAATTCGAAATGTCATCAGTCAATGACATTCATGACATAGACATATCACGTCATTATAATATCGAAAATAGTTCAGTGGCGCAGACTAGAGGTTAGACAAGGAAAGATTTATCGGACCTCTCTATATTTCAATGCGGCCACGTTGGTAGCATTGAAGAGAAAGATGGAAGAGGAGAGAACTTTTCTCTCTCTCAAGGTAGAAAATAGCTCAATTGGTTAAAACGGTTTTCATGTCCTTATCCCAACATTATATTCACTATCAATTGATATTTAATTGAAATAGGTACAGGGTGGCTCAGAATTAAGATTTTTGACCACCCTGTATCAATTAAATATCAATTGATAGTACGTGAAAAGTTGAGATAAGGACATGATGGAAACCGTTTTGACCAATTATGAATAGTTTCAACACAAAAAATTCTTGAAGTTGAAAGATCTCGATTTTTCACATCCTATAACTCTGTAATTATTACTGTTAGACTCCAAGTGCTATGGGTCAATGAAATCACCTCTTCAGGAAGAATCTGAAAATGTAATAATATACAGGGTGTCCATTAAAAAAATCAAAGTTGTTGCTACTTTTCAATATAAGCGGCAACATCGCAACGCTGAGAATATCTTAGGTCGATAGAACACAACTAATTATTCAAGGCACCAACTTTTCAGAATAATCCTGAGTTGCATTCTCCAGAAAAGCCTAATGTGCCATCCACCGTGAATCAGTCAGTATAACACACCTGAAGTCTCTAGAATATTCCTGAAATGATTTATTACACTATTAAATACATGTTCACTTTCAATGTAGATTATTGAACCTGAAGAAGCACCTTCCAGAAAACGTGCTAGAATTGAGACAAACATTCCAGATGCAGTTTATCTGGGAAGTCCCCAAAAGGGAAGTACAGTTTTTGCAGAAACTAGTAATTCATCATGGGCAGAACTTGAAAATTTCATGATAGGCACCGTCCAAATATTTCCCCCCACTATTGCTACCAGACAAATACTAATTCTTAGGTAATTAAACGGCAACCTTACAATGAAAATATTTTTATTATGTGTTGGTTGGATTTTTTTCCAGGTATTTGACTGCCATGGGAGACTACCAGGAATTTTTAAGTCATGTTTTTGAACATGATGCACTTGAACTGATACTTTGCTATGTTAATGTTAGGGCTACCAAAGAAGCTCGGTTGGCCTTTGAGGCTTTAAAATATCTAGCGGCGCTCCTTTGCCACAAAAAGTTTTCCATAGAGTTCATCCAGTGTAAAGGATTGGAGGTAAATGCATTTGAAGTATTTTGAAACACTTCATAGTACAATAAAGTGTATTTTTCTCAGTACTTCTATTACTTTCTTTCACATACATTTCTCGATGTTTTTATTGACTCAATGTCAGATATTGATCACATGATATATTTATTCATTAGGATCCAAAGTATTGACAGGCAATTTTTGTGTTTGATAGTCGAAATTCATTGCTAGGCGACCAGAGCAACAGTCAATAAATTACGTTGCTAAGCAACCATATCCATCGCTAGGCAAAAATCATCCTTTCTGGGAAACAGTAGCATTGCTAGGAAAGCAGATTAGAGCCTAGCCATAGCACCACTATACCGGAAATATTGCCACGGTGGCAAGTCAAATAAAATTCGATCCCTACTCCAGCTAATCTTTTTTTTTTTCGAAGTAGTTCATCAAAAAAATACTATGGAAGCATTTATTGGTAAGGCCGATAGTGATTCGCTATTTCAATTAGGTATCTTCTCAGGATCGGCCGGAAATTTTCTCGCGATCAGCGAGTGAGGCGCAATATTACCTTGCTATGGTGCTATGGCTAGATTCTAGTGGAAAGCAATGGTGTTGCTAGGCATCTTGCACTGCTAGGCAAGCAGCATTGCTAGGCTAGTAGCATCATAAGGCAAGCAGTAGCTTTGCTTAGCAATGCTCTTAGAGTTTCTAGGATTGAGTATTTTTTATCCTAGGACTTGAAGGAAACTTCAATGAGAAATTGTATACAAATTTTGGTATTGAAACTTCGAAAAATTCTCAGCACGCGAAGGAAAAAGCCGAAATGAATTGTTTGTCGTCAAATTAACTGAATTTTCGCGAGTTTTAGGCATTATTGGAAGTGCCCAGGCCATCAATAGCTGCCACCGGCGTGTCAATTTGTCTTTACTACCTCGGCTATTGTGAAGAAGCAATGGAAAGAGTGTGTTTGCTACCCAAGTATGTGGTTAGCAATCTTGTCAAGTGAGTGTAACAAAGAAATACAGAAAAGAATATTCTGGTATCATTTTTTTCATCTAGGTATGCACTCTGGCTTTTGGAATGTTCCCATGATTCTGGCAGGTGCCAAGCCATCATGTTCTTTGGCCTTACGTTCCAGTTCAAGGTCATACTGGAAGAATTCGATGCTCAGGATGGTTTGAGAAAACTACACAATGTGGTAAGTAAAATTGTTGTTGTTGTTGTGTCCTAATTTGTTGAATCCTCTCCATTTCTGTTCAGATCGCGACGTTGCCGATTTTATTACCTGATGCAGACACGGGACAAATCAACGAAGAGCAAGAAGGGGCCTACAGGCAAATAGTTCGGCATGTCTGCGTCGCTTATCGTCGCTATCTGGAAGCCCACTTGTATATCAAGGTGGAGCTGATAAGGAGGTCGCAGATCAGGCCTAACGAGAGACCCACCCAGTTGCTGCCGGCACTTCCATCGTACAAGGTAATAGATTCTTCAGAGAAACTGCGAAGCCCCACTATTTTCTTTGTTGGCCTACTACAGGGGTCTTCACAGAGTTGCTTGTTCATGATCACAGGGTTTGTAATTATTTAGGCAGGAGGCAGACCATTCAACTAACAGATTGGAGTAATTGTAAGAAACTTCACAAGCAATAAGATTTCCACAAAATTAATTCTTAATCACATGACATGTTTCTCTAACACAGTAGCTTCTTCAGGTAAAATACTGGTATAATAAACAAAACCTTACATTGGCTTGCCTAACTTTCATATCCTAGTTTCCCAACCTGAAGGATTAAAATTACCTGTGAAAAGGTTTGATGAACCTTCATTTTCGGACATCTCTAACGGCTTATAATAAAGAAATAAGGAAAGCCAAAAGAGATTCTTGGAGGAGGTTCTGTCAGAGTATATCAGATGTACCTGCCGGCATAAGAATGGGCGTGTACACCTTAGTAGAACTTTCATCTCAAACCATGTTTATAATGATCCTTTTTTACATTAATAATGATTAACGACATGATTCGATCGAAAAATTAACTGGAATGTTTTATTTTTGGACATAAATAATAGTACCTTCTGAAAACGGACCCTCTTATGACGTAGAAAGCTCATCTCGCCATAGTTAAGAGACAATACCAAACGCCCGACGGAGACTGAGGCAACTGATATATTAATTCTTTCAACTGTGATCTTGCGCTAATTCACTCTGTCAGAAATTATGTATCATTTATCTCTGTCTGGAATAGTCTTGTTTCAGTATTAGGGTTTTGACGTCACCTCATCGCCTCGTTTTCAGAGGTCCGAAAAATCGGGGATTTCAATAATTTTTTATAAAACGTAGGGAGCTCACAGCAAGAAACGGTTTGCGGTAGTGAGCTACTTTGGGTGAGTTCTATCGAATTATAGAATAATTTTTTTTTGTGATATATGCCCATTCACCAGGCTCTCGCCAGAGATCCGGATGGCGCTTTTATGGACCCTAGTAAGCAAACGTTACAGATTTTTCTACAGACTTACTTTCCCGGCAGTCTGCTTCTATACCTTTTCAACTTCAATTTCGGAATCGGTGAGTTATATTCCGGAAAAAGTAATCTCGATTTCAGAATTGGTTAGTTCGATTTCAGAAATGGTAAACTCAATTTCAGAATCGGTGAGATGAATTTCAGAAAAAGTCCATTCAATTTCAGAAGATGAAATCCTTTTATATGTTTGAAATGTTTTTAATTGCAAAAGAGAAGATTGTTTACAGTGGATGGAACGGTGTTTGAGAGCCCTATGTTGAATCAGAAGTAAAAAGCTTCTTGGAAGAGCATCGCCAAAGGGTCATAGCTGGAGATCCGAACAGATTGCTCAACCAGATAGAATTCAGACTGCGATGTCTTGAAGAATGTGCAGATCATTCAATGAAAATGATAACACCTCAAATGTGTTTGCATTCTTATAATCATGTGCAACGCCACTATCTTCCAGCGATTCAGATGGAAGCCATCTATGGATTAAATTGTTTTTGAAAAGTTGAATATTTTAAATATGGTTTGTTAATCTCACATGCAATTGGAAACATTTCGAACAAATATAAGGATTTTTTTCATGATATTGAACCTACCGCTTCTGAAATAAAACTTACCATTTCTGAAATTGAATGGACTTTTTCTGAAATTCATCTCACCGATTCTGAAATTGAGTTTACCATTTCTGAAATCGAACTAACCAATTCTGAAATGGAGATTACTTTTTCCGAAATATAACTTACCGATTCCGAAATTGAAGTTGAAAAGGTATAGAGGACCGTCATCAAATTCCACTTCGAATTGGATCGATAATACTACCAAAAAAGGAGGACTGGAAGAATGCCTCAATGGTGGTCACTCCAGAGTCAGCGGAATGGGTGGTTAATGTTTTCTCCCCATTCAAGTCTCCGGAAGGGGACGGTGTTTTTCCTGCCCTTTTACAAAAGGGAAGAGAAGTTTTACTACCTCTCCTGGTTAGTCCCAGCGAGTTTGGCGCTAGGCTGGTCAACAGCAAGAGATGTGTATATGCACAAATCGGGTACGGCTAATCCTTCCGTCGATCAGCTTCACCTCGTTCCTATTGAAAACTCTAGAAATAATTCTAGACAGGCATATTAGAGAGGGGATTCAAAGGGAACATCCCCTAAATCCCCATCAATATGCCTACCAAACAGGCAAATCAACGGATTCAGCACTGAACAATCTTGTAGGAAAGATCAGCCATTTCTTAGATCATAAGGAAATTTCGCTGGCAGATTTCCTGGATATAGAAGGAGCGTTCAATAATGCCCTACCACAATCACTTTATATGACAATGCAAGGTAGTGGAATCAGCAGTTGAATATTGGGAATCGGTACGTCATATCATCACTGCATGAAGAGTCGATCAGGTTTAGAGCGGTAAAAGGTTCCCCCCTTATGTGGTCATTCCTAGTTGACTCTCTGCTGAACGATCATTCCATGCAGGTGGTGGATTTCCAATGCTATGCAGATGATCTAGTCCTAATAGTAAGAGAGAAAGAAGCGACGATCTCAAACGGCCTACAAGAAGCCCTTAAAACAGGCCTGCCACTGCAACATATGGTAGTGAGTACATTACTAGCCTACAAAACTCTGAAAGAGAGCTGATGGGCGGTGCCTGAAAAGGAAGTTAGCCAGCTCTCTTCAGCGAACCACATCAGTCATTGAAAAAACACCAAGGGGCTTGCAAAAAGGTCCCATTGGGGACTAGATAGATAGATAAACTTTATTTTCCTTTTTAGACAATTACATTTCATATTGTATAGGAATCGTCAATGGATCTTACAAACTAAAGGGACATATACTCATCTACACTATAATAACAGTTATGTAACAGAAACTCTTTCAATCTTCTTTTAAACACAACCAATGTTTCACAGTCTTTTATGTTGATTGGCAGTAAGTTGAAAATTCGTGGGGCCATGAGATTAGGAGAATTGTATGCTAATTTACATTTACCGAATGGGACATATACATCATTTTTTTGCCGGGTATTCACATTATGTTTGGATTTGTTGAGAACAAAATATTCATCATAATTTTTGAAAACAAATACACAATATTCAAATATTAAAAGACAAGGTAATGTTAAAATTTTATAGTTGATGAATATATTTCTGCAGGATTCTCTCATAGGAACACCTACCATTATTCGTACTATTCTTTTTTGAGCTATAAAAACATCTTTCCAGTGTGTAGATAGGCCCTAGAAACATAAACCATACCTAAGTCTAGAGTCAATCTGTGCGTAATACAAGGTCAACAATTGATCAATATTCAAAACTTGTTTCAAGTTTCCCAATTGATATGATATTGTGTTCAATTTCTTTGTTAATAGTGCACAATGATTATGCCACCCCAAACATTGGTCGATAGAGAGTCCCAGAAATTTGGTGCTTACACTATCTGTAATAACGAGATCAGAATTTTCCTTTGCCTGGAAAGTGATAAAGTCACAACTTTTCTGACGATTGTGGTGACTATTTGCTGACGTGCAAATTTCTCCCACCAGTACCAGCCCTTAAAGCAGCGTTTTCAATTGCAGGCGTGCAAATCCTCGCCAGAAGAGATCCAGCAGCAAATCGACACGCTCTTTCACGACATGCCCTATCGCAGCCATTGGCCGCCCGTCGACCAGCTGCTCAAGCTGGGCGGCATCACTTTGCTGCTCAAGATCATCGCGTTCGCGTACGAGTGGAACTACAGCGGTAGGGCGGAGACTGTGCGCAGCGCGCTGGACGTGCTGGCGATCGCCTGCGTCATGCCCAAGGTGCAGCAGCTGTTCTGCGACAGGGTGGACTTGCCCGAGGAGACCTTGACCGTCGGTGAGTAGGGCTAGAATGACTTTATACAGGGTGTTACAGAACTATGAGATCAAACTTCTAGGGGTTAGTCAGTGCAACATTTGAAAACATTTGAGTCATTGAATAGCTGAAATTCGGAAGGGTACAGTAATGAATTTGCGTCTTCGAAGTGCCCATCTGATGTTAGGTTTAGATATTTGTTATTCCATTTCATCAACTAAATAATATGAGACTTACGAATTCCAAAAGATGGATTCTAATAGGTAATATCCAAGGTACAGTTTCATGTCTGTTTATTGGATGTTTTGTGTCCAAAGAGCGCTAAATAGAGACAAAGCATTGAAAAAGTGAGATTGAATGCGGAGAAATGAATGGAGAAGACTTATAGTGCCGTGCTAAGCAGAAAGGTCGTATCTGACATTTTCGTCAAAATTGAGATAATTATATTCGTCGTATCTAAAAACACCCACGCATCTTCTGGTAGGGTTTCCAAGTCGTGGCGGCAAAAATACGGGTCCGTCCACACCACTCAAAATACTGACAGGCACAACAAGAGGAAGGAGTCATGGGTGTCGGCTTCATTCTGTTCTGACCGATGACAGTGAATTAGGAAGGATACTATCATCGAATGTAGGCGATAGTGGTTCATTGATTCAATGATATCTTCGTTTAGGATCGAGCTCTATTCGAGATATTTCAATGCATAAATAACAGAACCACAACCTGTCAGAATGAAGCCTACTACCCTCTCCGTTCCTGCTCCGAGTGCATTTGTGGTTATGTATGTTTTTGTTTACCAGTTCTACTCCTTCTATTTTTTTCATTCGTTTTTCATTCGTTAGCTATTTGCTATCTGTATTCTTCACCATCAGCTATTTTCAGACTAGATTCAGAATGCCGCCCCGACAATTAGAAATCTCTAGTTGAAAATGAAAATGACTTGGACTTCATCGGTCGCCATTCTGTACAGCGTGGACATAAAACTGGAGAGTTCCGAACTTATTTTATCAAAATTCATCGGAAGGCAACTTCCCCATTCTTACATTGACGGAGAAGAAGAAATTGTATGAGGCCAAATGACAGGAAAAAGAAGAAGTATATTTAGTTCTACCAACTCTAACCCTTCTATGACCTCACCTTTCAGTACCGTGATAATGCTGGTACTACTTGTCGGTGACAAAAAAGTACTTGTTCATTGCTGTTCCTATCATGAAATATGTATATTGCACTTTTATTATTATTTTTATTACTATTATTATTATTTTATTATTTTTTGTACAGACTTATGTGAATCAAAATTTCTCTATCTGAGCTGGTTTTAGAAAAAATGGCGGTTGATAGAAGATCTTCGGTAGCATGACATCGATCTGTGTAACATCGTGGAAAAACATCAATACTCAGTAATAATTTGCATTTTTTTTCCTCAGGATTGAATATTATCTTAGGAGCTGCAGAAGGAGAAATTGTAGCAGATGCTGACGTGCAAAAAGCCGCTCTCAGAGTCATCGGCAATAGTGTTTGTGCCCCCAAATCTAGGGTAAATAAAATCATTTTGAATTATTCTGATGGCATTTGAGATGTACAGGGCGTACAACTAAGAACGGCTGTCGGCCATATCTCAGCAACGAATAATGATACAACATGATAGCTTTTCGCCAACGGAAGATATTGACTATCGAAGTTGGAAGAATGAAAGATGACAGCCGTTCTTAGTTCTTCACTGGGTACATATTTTTTATTCTTAAATTTTATCAAAATCACTTTTGTATATATTTTTCCCCACTTCTGAGTAATACCACACTACTGTTTTTCACCCTATTCGCCATAGAAAATATACGTACGCCACCTATCAGAGTTCTTGAAAGCTGTCAAAGCAGCAAATTTTTGTTTCTTTTCATTGGTTTACATTCGTTTTATGTTAGTGCTTATTGGTTATATCGTCAAAACAAACCGCTCAGAAGTGTTCAAGCTGTAGCTGTCAGCTGGGGCAACTTGTTATTTTCTATCGCGACTGGATGAGAAGTGACTAAGTAGCGTCCGAGATAATACTTGTTCTGTGTCAATTTTCTATATTCTACTACATTGGGTGGTGACATGATGAGTATGAGTTATCATTGTCAATTGAAAAATAATTCAAAATTCAGTATATATGATTGTTTTTGTGCCCTCCAATCACTGAAAAATGAAATGAATGTAATACGAACATTGAATTATTCTGTTGATATTTGAAATGTTTCTATTAATTCTTCTGAGATTTTTTCGACGCTACTTTCGAATTTTTTTAATTCTCAGCATTGAGCAATACAACCACACTCCTGCTTTTCCTCCTCACCTTATGAAAAACTATAGGAATGTGCGTGGATTTATCATTTCAACATACATATAAATGGACAAAGGATTGACTTATCAATTTCAAATTTGTTTAAATTTTCAAAATAACTTGATAAATACAATAATCCTACCGATATCGATAGTAATTACAATCACAAGAAGCCTGTTTTGAACACTGTAGTCAGTTCCATCACGCTGCCTTCTTGAATTTGGCTATTAGTGTTGAGTCGTGTTTTTTTGTTCATTAATCTCGTTTTTAACATATCTGCTTTTATTCAAAGTCTCTGGCCAACTATCTCCTATTTATCTCTGATTATGTAACTAACTAATTATTTTTTGTTCTTAAAAATATACAGGGTCAATATATATACAGGGTCATAGATATAATTATTGTTATGAAGACATCACAACTAGGGCGTTTCACTCTATTTCACTTTTCTATAGATACTTCCGCAGGAAATGTTCCTCAGAAATTTCTGCTATTATTCCATCACTTGCAATACCAGTCAGACGAACTCGACAGGCCCAGTCAGCATATTCTTTCGTCGTTAACCTTGAAATATGTCGAACAACACTACGAAAACTTGTTCGTCTATAGACTGGCGAAGCTTTGGAACTATTTTCCAATTGAACTTATAACCTCCAAGAATTAAAAAAAAAATCCATGGCATAATTCTTCTCCGAGTTGGATTTCCGAAAATATATTTAGCACACATGACATGAGTACAGTAGTTTAGATCCCCACATCGAGGTTTTCACCATTTCTCAATCATAAGGCTCAGCTGATTCAGCTCATAGATAAACTACTGCTCAGCTTGAAATCAGAATTCACTCAGTCAATTCAGTCAACCCTGGTATATACAGTCTAAGAACAGTCTCTTTTGCTGAAATATTAAGCTTTCAGTACAATTTATATGTTCCCTACCTTGCAAAGATTATGATGGAGTAGTAAACTCTAAACCTGTTCATCTATATCTTGGTATAGTTGAATCAGAAATTCCATATAGAAATTACGTATGATACGCCAATGACCTCAATATAACCTTGAAAACAACAAATGTCAAAAATCTAGTGTTTATCCCCAGAATTGAATAAGGATGGAACTATATAACTGTTTCACAAACACTTTAGAGTGAGAGGAGACGAGGATCTGTCCGTACCCTGTTAAGATGACTTCAACGTCAATTTCCATTTTAACAACTCCGATAGGTGGCGTAAGCTTATTTTCTATCGCGAATACTATTAGTATAGATTATCTTGATTCTCCGAAGGTCGGCGGCACCCTGACCAGGTTCTCCCAGAACCCCACCTCGCCCGTCAAAAAGATGAAGTACAAGAGCTCCGAGGAGCTGATCCAGAAGGTGTGGGACTGCGCGCGCGCCAACAGCGGCATCATGGTGCTGCTGCAGCTGATGCAAGTCAAGACGCCTATCACCGACGCCGACTGCATCAGGACGCTGGCTTGCAGGGCGCTGGCCGGGCTAGCCAGGTCCGACACGGTCAAGCAGATCGTCAGCAAGCTGCCTCTTTTCACCAGCGGACAGCTGCAAAGTGAGTCGACATAACATTTCATCCATAAAACAAACACTATTTTTCTGCAACCGACACAAAAGTCGTCCATTTTGATACCAAAATCAGCTCTTAAATTGACGTTTCTATTACTGACACAAAAATAGGTATGTTGCTAGGCAACATATTTAGTTCCTAGGAGCTAAAGTTGAATTTTAGTTCCTAGGACTTAAAGTTGAACTTTAGCTCCTAGGAACTAAAAAGGATCTACTGGACGTCATCAAGAATAAACAACATTGTGACGGTTGGTTATTTGGGTTGAGACGCATACCTGATTTGTTTCCGATTTTAGCAGATTTGGCATTTCATACCCATGCTGGAGATATAAATACACCTTATTATAGTTCAGTATTGGAATTATAAACATCTCAGTTGAGTATTTTTGTTTTGATCAGGGAAGCCTTCAAGATTGAAATACTTGCTTGATCTGTATTTCATTCGTTATTCTCGGGATGGATAACTTGTTTTTGAATAATCACGGCAAGCAATAGTTTTTTGTCTCAAGAAACGATATTGTTTAGCTCCATTTGATTATCAAGTCAAACACAGTGTAGTATGGAGAGGAATAAATACATCACTATTATCATTGTTGATATGCTCACTAACATAACATTTTCCACGTCTTGTTCCTATAGCTGGCACTGGCGCGGTATTTGCCATTAGAGCACCTGGTCCGTACACAAATATGTCACTCTGTGGTTGTATTTATATTGAAACTACAATTCGAACATCCTAGGAAACCTAACCTGCTGTTAATGCAGGTAGAATATTCTCACCACATGGATCATTTGTCAATATTTGTTGCATTGCATACATATGGCACGGCATTGGTGGTTACTTCACATGTTTATTTGAGTTAATTATTGCGGTTGCAGAAAAAATAGCATGTTTCATTCGGATCAAAAGTGACTTTGTTCGACTCGCAAATTTTGCTTTCGCTCGGCTTCGCTCAACGCTCCGCCTCGCAAATGCAAAATTCGCTTGTCAAACAAAGTGTCACTTTTGATCCTAATAAAACAATCTACTATTGTTCACAATCATACATAGCTCCAAAGTTCCAAATGAGTTCGAAGGAGATGGTTAAAAAAATGGCTATGCTGTAAACTGTTCGTCAATGTTCACACTTTTCTTTATCAGAAATTGGCAAGGTGATGATTCCGATACGTCATCTGGTGGGCACATTTGAACCAGTTTATCAGGGCATTCAAGGTCATTTTTGTTAATCTTTGTTATTCTATTCATTTATTTGATATTTCATGTTATTCATTCTACAAATTACTTTGATTTTGTTTTCATGATTTTCTTGAGTACAGGACAAGAACTTCATATTAATTACCAACACAATGGGCGTGTACACCTTAGTAGAACTTTCAACTCAAACCATGTTTATAATGATCCTTTTATACATAATTCCATCTAAAAATTGACTGGAATGTTTTATTTTTGGACATAAATAATAGTACCTTCTGAAAACGGACCCTCTTTATGACGTAGAAACCTCATCTTGCCTGGAACCAATGAGCGTGACCCATAGAATGACCCATGTGTGACACTTATCACTGTTGCCATATCATCTAAACAAAATATCCGAGAGATCGAAATCGATATTGAAATATCTTTTGATATCAACTACCACTACTGCAGAAAAATATATTCAACTTGTCGATGGTAGGTTGAATCATTAGAATATAAACAATCTCTAAACAACGAAATGTCTCAATCTCAAAACCATTTGCACCATGACAATTTCACAATAATCCAATATATTTCATGAAAGCAGCAACATTGCTTTGTTGACCCGTTTCACATGGAGCTGCATTTGCATCGAGTCTCGAATTCCGATTCCGAAGTTATTTATGTCGTCTAAAATGAGAAGAGAAGACACGTAAGGAAATTAACCTCTAAGTCTTGCTTTATATCATATTAATACATATTATTGATATATTGTATATAAACATGTACGTTGAATCAGGATTTGTAAAAGGCTCATCAGATAATCTACCGAAAATTGATTTGGAAATGGTTAATTATTTTTATGTCTCTAACATACTAGAAAATCTCGGTTCCTCAGTGCTGAAATGAGGAATAGAATATCTGAAAGGTAAGTTCCACAATATTCATTCAATTTTCATTGCTTGTACCTATTATAGTTGCATTGGAAAATTGTTCACCTGAAAGGATATTTAACATCAGAATACCCATCATATGGAGATTCCGAGCGAGAATCCTCATTAATTAGTCACTGATCCATAAGTTAACCTATGCAACAATATGATCAATTGGTATGAAACAATGTTATTCCAAAGACTAGATACTGCTTGCATCTCCCCCTGAATGTTCTTCTAGGAGATGAATCATTCATTCTTCAAGCAATTTCCCTATGAATCTCTGCAAAGCAAAACTACTACTATAATATTGTGTTTACCCAGTGAGGGGCCAGATTTGTTCTCAAAATTCCCAGCTAAATGATGTTTTTTTAATTGCAATTAGGCAATTAGGCACAGAACATTTCTCAATCATACTTTTGTCGAAATATTTCAATTTAATATTCGAAAATGATTCGAAAGTATCGCGAATCGCGATTTGCAGAAACTTAATATAGGTTAGAATTGATCTTCTTCTTGTTCTTATCATCTATGTCCCAAAAATCAACTTGCCGATTCACCAATCTTGGTGCTTTGTCAGAAATCATGTATCATTCATCTCTGTCTGGAATAGTCTTGTTTCAGTATTAGGGTTTTGACGTCACATCATCGCCTCGTTTTCAGAGGTCCGAAAAATCGGGGATTTCAATAATTTTTTATAAAACGTAGGGAGCTCACAGCAAGAAACGGTTTGCGGTGGTGAGCTAGTTTGGATGAGTTCTATCGAATTATGAAATACATTTTTTTTGTGATGTAAGCCCATTCTACATTATTTTATAAATCATGAATCAACATATCAACAATTTCGTCACCCCTCTTTTTATATGTCTATGATTGAAGTCAATAAATTGTGGTTTAAAGAGAATACACAACTAGACATTCTACCACTCTCAACAGGGAACGTGTCATTCGTTTTAATCATTATTGCTGTTATTAATTTGTGTTTTTAAATAAGATTATTGAAGTTATTGTTATGTAATAATCGAAAACGTCACTGTCAATTCGACGACGTTTGTCGACAGATGACTGCTATTTGCGATGCTGATCTGTTTCTTTTGAAGGAAATATGTAATTTTTCAATGTTTTTTTGTTCAGATCTGATGAGGGACCCTATTCTTCAGGAGAAACGTCAAGAACATGTCCAATTCCAGAAATACGCTCTCGAGCTACTCGAGTTGCTTTCTGGCAAGGGCAAACATACAGACACCAACCTGGAAGCTTCTCTCGCTAACATCCACAGGGTAAATCACAAACATAAACAAAAAGTAAATGATTTTTTTTTTCGATAAAATCATTTCCTTGTAGGCTAATGTTGTTGCACAAACCAGAATACAGTTCAACGACAGGCAGTTGTTGCAACTCATACACCAGCATTTGGTGCACAAAGGATATGCCGATACGGCCGGCATGTTGGTGAAGGAAGCGAGTTTGAGCAACGCCATCACCTCTCTCAGTTCTCAGCATCCTACCAAGTTTAGGTACAGCTCAACACTGACTCCTGCAAGGGTGAGAATATGAATTTCACAACTTCATGATTTCATTTTTCATGTTCAACTTTGTCTTGGATCTGATACTGTTATCGAAATTTGTTTGTATTTTTATCTCTCCCTAATTTTTTCCCGAGACTGCATATGGTGATTGACTATAGATTTCATGATTCCAACACTCGATGATCCAAAAACTAATCAAGATATTGAAGATGATTTCTTGATGCAGGGTGGATCAAAGGAATACAACTTGAAATCAATTGAATTATTTTCGTTATGAAATCTTCTTATTGATTCTCAGTTGAGCAGAAACCGAGAGATTATTTATTGAAAACACTGAATTTCAGCTCGACTGGATTGAATTAGATGATTTCATGACAAAAACCTCGATTAGTATCAATTTTTATTCCTTCGATTTACCCAGAATTATTCCACAAGTTTAACTATTTTTGAAATCATGAAAGATCAAGGTTTCATTAAAGGCAATGCAGTATGGACGTGCATTTGAAAAAAATTAAAATTTTCGCACCCTCTTATATCTAATGCCAAAAGATCACATCTGATTCAAGATTTTGTTGACAAGAGTTTCAAATAATGATGATTGAACATATTAGTGATCTAGTTCTTCAACAAACATTTTATGACAATCTTTTATATTTAATTTTGAGTTTCTCTCAAATCTAATGCAAATTATACATATTAATTCATTTTGTATGTATATATTTCGAATCTTTTGTCTTTGAACTATGAATTTGCTAGAGTCACTAGCAAGACAACGATTTTCTATTGTATCCTCATTTACTTTTCTGATCGAGAGGATTTCATACTTCAACATAAATGTTCCTTCGAATGAACCGACAATCACTCAATTCTCAATTTGTATTATACAGTAGGTTGATTTCTTTAGGTTCGTCTGTCGTTTTCATCGCCAAGCATCCACAGATCACTTCCTCCCAGTAACATCACAGAAGTCCCATCGTCTTCTGTGAACGGCATACCTTCATCTACCTCTGGAATCAAAATCATAAAGTAAGCTGATACCCTCGATCATTTACAATAAGATGACCCACCTAAACTCAGCAAAATGTGGCCGAATTCAGAGAGAATGCACCATTTTTTTAGCACTGAAGCTTTTCAATAGACTACCCAATAATTTGAAGACTATCGAGAAGATTAACTGGTTTAATGAATTCTTGGCATCTTCATATATAAATTATTCAATTGAATAATTTATCGACTGTATTATATTATGATATTCGCGGGAATCAATGTTCCCAGGTGGCGCTCGGTTTTCATCTTTTCATATCAAAGCCACGTCAAAACTGGAGGAAAACAAACTCAATCCTCACTCAATACCATAAGTGCCATTAGCTTGTGTACTGTGTACTGATAAGAGTGATAAGTTTTTAAATTTCTTGACATTAATTGTCAATATTCGATCTAAAACGCTAATAATGCTTGTTGTAGATGTTCTTTTGGCAGATATTCTGCTCCATTTAGACGGAAAAAGCCGACCAGTAGTGGAAGGAGAAGCAGTTCTCCGTGCTAATCATGTGATTTTGTTTGAGGCAGAAGACTTCAACAAAAGGCACATTTTTGCACTTTATCTACAAACTTCGGCGATGAAATCTTCCCCACATGAAGTAAAATTGAAGTTGGGGTCCAGAGGAACTCCTGTAGAACAATTAATTTGTATTCGTTCATGCAAAGCAGGACAATCTGGGTATTGTAAACATGTTGTAGCTGTTCTTTTATATGTCGATTGATTGTCTCTTCATAATTAGTTTGAATTGTTCGAACTATCTCCAATTCTTCCCCCGTTCACTGTTCACTAAACTAATAAAAATTTAATAATGTAAAAAAATTAACCAACTCAACCATCATCACTACCAACAGTGCCAACACTTTATGTCATTGACAAGTTTGACTACAGCTACAGCAAGCTGAATGCAGTGTAGTCTTATGCATTTTATCCATAGACAACAGTTTGTTTTCCCCCAGTTTGAAGTTCGTATTATGTAACCTAGATGTCGCCCCCTTCGTGAATCTCGCGAATAATAGGACATATCGGGGAGTTCAGTCAATCGGGCTACAAGCAAACTACTTTATTGCTATGCCAAGCTTTCGAACATTTTTAAGTAACAACTATGAAATAGCCACAATGCTCAAAGTGGAATGATATGTTAAATAAATGCAAAAAGCTCAAAGTCATTTCCACACAGTGTTCATAAACTGAACAACAATGGTAGATTTCGGGAGAAAAACAACTACTTCCCTGGCTAATGCCATGCCACGCAGGATATTGAATTAAATCCTCCCGAAATCTATGCATCGACTCGTATAAACGAATACTGACACAAGTGATTCTTTCCTGAATGCCTATTGATTTCGATTAAGCAGGCCGCTAGACAACCACAGACCGGTTTCGAGCTCTTTGACTCTCATCAGTGCAGTGTAGTCTCCAGCCAGCAGTCCTAAGACCGCCGACTCAGCGAAGCCTAGCCAAACAAAAATCAATTTGGCATTTTATCCACCCCGAGGCGTCTTTCATCGACAAAATGAAAGTAACGCCATCTGAGTAGAACAGAGGAAAGAATCACTCCAAAACTGAAATTCCCATACGAGAGTGGCTGGTTGCCCGACTGGCGTAATTTCAACTACGAAATAGCCACAATGCTCAAAGTGGAATGATATGTTAAATAAATGCAAAAAGCTCAAAGTCATTTCCACACAGTGTTCATAAACTGAACAGTAAGTTCTTGTTTTTGTTGAATTGACTTGTGACAAAATGTTTCATATACAATATATTGTTTCAGCCTTGAAGAAGAAAATAAAAATTTTCGAAGGCATAGCAATAAAGTAGTCTGCTTGTAGCCCGATTGACTGAACTCCCCGATATTTCCTATTATATCATAAATTATTTAACTTATGGATGCAATAATATTCGACTGTTTTGTTCTCTTGACTATTCCTATATGGTTTCTGTAACTATGAAAAAATAAAAAGCTTATTATTATGATTATTATAACCCACACAACAGTCAGTTCGATTTTTTTCGAAATTACTTTCAGGAAACATCAGAACTTGCCCGTCACCCCCACCCAAAATTCCCGTCTGCAAAAGCAGATCAGCGGAGACCCTCACGTCTGGTTGGGGCCCGACGATATTTCTCCGTCTGCCGAACAACCCAGGGTCACTCTGGATTCCATCATAACGGAGTATCTGACGAACCAACACGCCCTGTGCAAAAACCCCATGGCGACGTGTCCACAATTCAACTTGTTTGTGTGAGTGTTTTTTTTATACCCTCGGGCTAAATAACAATTCTAATCGCCAAACACGGTTAAATGAATTAAATCGCGAATGATGGGGATATTCTTTATAGATATCTCATTTTGTAAGGTCTTAGTGAGATTATCTGATATTTTCGGTGTTTCAAACACACTTTTCATCAAAAAAAGCAAGCTCCTGGACCAAATTTTTACGTACCTGTGAAATATCAGCTTAGGCTATTTTCAACTAACTTTCCTTTACAGATTTGACACTGCCGATCCATATTTATTCACAAAATAGTCTTAGATTATCATATTTTCAATATTAATTGAGTAACTGAATCACCGAAAACTGATCACACAATAGCCAGAAAATGATTTATAACAACAAAAACGACAATAGTTATTTGTTTAACTAGGCAGCAAAGTAGTAGATTGACTGCCGAGGCTAAGACAGTCAATCTACTTTTCTGCCGAGTTGAACATATAATTTTTTCTCCGACTGTTCATAATGATATATATCTCTTTATTTTTCCTGTAGTGTTCAATTAAAATAAAATTTGATAGAAATCGCAGTTGTTGGAATGGTTGGTTGCTATGGAAATGTCCATAATAATTATAGTTTGACAATTCATGAAATTTCTGACAGTTGTGCGAAAAAATATCAGTATATTTAAATTATTATATAATGGACAGTGATAGCGACCTGGAAGTATTTAAACCTCCAGAAATAAGGGAGGTCTAATTTCGGCTATAAGTACAACAGCCTACCAGTCAATAAGTTTTAATTTCACATCGATAATATTCTGCTTTCAATGCATAGTGATATCATTTCAATATTAAATCGTCGTTTTTTCTGCCACAGAAAAAAATAGTATTAGATTTTAGCTCGAGGTTGAACTGTCTCCCGACGCGTTATCACGTCATAGTGGGTGTTTCGCCGTTTCGGTAGGATTTAATGGGTTCGTTTGGGTTTTCAGGCCTCACAAGTGCCCAGATCCAAAACCTAGGATAACCACTGCGAACAACTATGTGTTGAGGTGCGCCAGAAGGCAGATCGGCATCCAATCGAAAACGATGGACAGGAGGTTCGTGCATTCCCGATTCTGTCCAGTACAAACCATAAGACTGCAAAAGGATGATGGGTTCTTCACTTGTGCCAAATTCATGGTGAGGAATCGTCATGTTTGAACCGTTTACTAATGCCACTATGTGAAAAATATTTCAATCAGGCACTGATGCGGCATTCCTTTTTGCATAAAACCATCTAAAAATAAACTTCACTGTTACTCTAGGTAGTCTAGTCTAAGTGCTCTGTATTCTTTGTGAAGAACTTGGCAGTCTTGAAGGTTTGATTTGAAAAGATCCGGCTCGAAGGACCAATATGTTCGATGCTTGATAGATTACTGTATTCATATGGTTTTATGATAATGAAATGAATGTTGATATTGGAATTCCAATTATTGTAAACACAAAATATAAGTACCAAACTAGTATATAGGGTTATACAAGTACTAAACAAATATTACAGTATTGTTATTTTTTAGCCGGGAGATAAGACGTTGGTTGTGGGCGACTACAATGGCGAAGTGCACTTGTTCAACTTGCATAAAGGCACGGAAACGAACATGTTCACAGCTCACGACAACTACATAGTCCAGTTGGAACCGAACAGGACCGGCGATTTCATTCTGACTAGCTCCACCTGGGGGAAACCTGTTTCCGCTATGTGGGACATGAAGACCTTCGAGATGAAGTGAGTTTCTCAAATAAAAACGATGAATTTGATTTTTCAGGATTTGTGTTAGATCCCAGGAAAACCTGCCCAATGTGTAGTAGAACTCTGCAATGAGGGCTAGAATTTTCGGTCTCACCCATTGGCATTACTAAATCGTGAGGTCAATGTCAAAGTCAAAATTCTTAAATTTTGCTGGATATGTCTAAAAGCTGTGGCCCGTTTTATCGAAAATATTCGGGAAAAATGATGTAGAATATTTGAACGGATAGAAAACCTCAAGTTATGGAAAGACTTGAGCAGACTTACTGTTTTTTACTCTCAATATAGAACTTTACGACCAATACTTATATTGACGGAGGAGAATAATATATCGTAGTTCTAGCAACTCTGACCTCATGTTTCAGTGGCACGATTTGCTCTCATTTGCAGTATTACCAACTGCATCGGGATTTATTAGGTTTGTTCGTGTTCCAAATTGTTGAAACGACCCTCGGACGGCGCAGAATCAGGTGCGCAACAAATTCATTCCTAAACAAGTGTGGGATAGTTTTGATACCAGATAAACAAAAACGTGTTTCCCCGTTTTCTCATCTTCTTTCTCGAAAATATACTGGAGGGCATTTTAAGGTTAGGGCTATGTTGATGTTTAGCATGAAATAATCGTAAAATTCCGGACCTGAACATAAACCTTCCCCACTAAAATTTTTCTAGTCGTATACCTATACCAAAAATGTTCCCGGATTTTTCAAAAACGTTTTGTTATCATCTGAACATGAAGATAGGACGATGACCTGGAGCTCAGATGCCCATTGTTCATAACATTGATTGATTTTTTTTTTCAATGATTACATTCTTCATCTTGTTTAAGAGTGTATCTAGACTAAGAACGCTTAAAAGTTGAAAATCTGTTGCATAAACGCATGCACATCCAAAATTATTCACGACAGTCATGGACAGTTCTTGCCCAGAGGCTTGTACTGCTTTGGACCGATTGGAAACTATCCCAAACTAGTTCGTACTAAACGAAAACACGTGATCTGTGGAATAAGAAACAGTCCTGAGAAAGCATTAACACCACTTTGTCACTGCGCATGCTTCTATTGAAATGTGCTATGGACTTTACAACTACTCGATCATTTACTCAAATACGATCTTGATCACTTGAATTTCTTCTGCTCTACCTGAGTTGAAACTCAAAACTGATAGGTCTGCAAAAGTATAAAATTGAGAAGACACCTGACCGCGCAATATTCTTTGCCAATGGATGTATTCCCAAGAACTAATAACCTCCAAAAGTTCAAAAAAATCCTATACCTACCTCCTCGATCAATCCTATCCATTATAGGAATTTCCTTTCCTGCACTCCAAGAGAGAGAAAGGATGGTGACATGAATGAATTAGCCCTGGAAATATAATAAAATCAATTCATTCATTGATCTCCTGTTTACGTCACATATACTTTGAAATGTGCACTCATCATTCAACATCCGAAAACATCGAACAACAAAAATTGTTTTCCAAAAAATAACTAGGTTGTTCTTCAAGTGTTGATAGTTGTTAGTAGCCCTAATTGTTTACACTAACAAGATGAACCATATTTTCTATTTTAATCTTTTGTATAGGATGCCTTTCGATGATGAAGAACATGTAGAATTCAGCAAAGTTACCCAAGAAAAAGTTATTGGAACCAAAGGAGAAATGGCGACGGTACATAAAAAAGCAATTTTATTGGAGAAAAACATGTTAATTTCGTTTGGTTTCTAGATATTTGATGTGAATACCAGACAATCTGTGTCTCGTCTGGTACCTACAGTTAGCAACCAGTACACCAAAAACAAAGCAACATTCAGCTATAATGACGAACTGATCCTTTCTGACGGAGTTTTGTTTGATGTGAACTCCGGGAAGCAGATTCACAAGCTGGACAAGCTGAACCAAACGCAAAGTGGAGTTTTTCATCCGAATGGTCTAGAGGTGAGTAGTGAAAAAACTGTTTGTCATCCTGAAAATAATCGGAAAATATTTTCGAGAGTCCGTGAAGTCGGCTGAAAGAATGGAATAGCTTTTATTTGTGGAATTGAACATCATATATTCTTCCCGAATGATGGGAGATTTGACAATATTGAAGTCACCCGTGAATCGTTGTACTCATGTCAATTATGATTCACTGTTCCCAAATGTTTGTGAGAAATTCAAAAACTGGCTTCGGGTTTGAGAAACTTCAATATGATTTCACGTAAATTGTCATTGCTTACATTGAAAAAATCATAAAGGAACCTATTTCTTCTATTTGTAGATTGTATCAAATACTGAGGTCTGGGACATAAGAACATTCCACTTATTGAAGACAGTGCCGGTTTTGAATCAGTGTTCCGTATTTTTCTCACCTGTGAAAACTGCAATTTACGCAATCTCCATGGAACAAGAGATGGACGATGGAGATCCAACATTTGAAACCAGCTTCAAGACTGTCGATGCCATAGATTATTCTAGTATAGGTGAGTCATCTTTCATTTCTAGGCTTTCAAATTGAAAACTTTACCAGTTGCGAGTTGATTGAGCAGAAGCTCCACTTTAGTTTGTTCAATATGTTTAATAATACCACTATTATTACTCAAAGTAAAATGTCTATATACATCATTGATCCTTTTGAAAACCCTGTGAAGAAACAATTTCCTGAAGAATTTTAAAGAGGTGCTCCACGCCTTCAGGAAACCCTGTGAAGAAACAATTTCCTGAAGACTTTTAAAGAGGAGGTGCTCCACGCCTTCAATTCCACCAGATCTGACCCCTCTTGATTTTTTTCTTAAAATGACGGGACAGCCTCCAATATCACCCGATTTGACCCCCATTGACTTTTTTTCTAAATATCACGGGACAGCCTCCGCAAGCATTCTAAGACGCGAAATAACTCTTTTGCAGCCACTTTCGACGTGAAAAAAGGATTCACGACCTCGTTATCGATGGTTACAACACCGAAGTCGCCGTGGTGGAGAACCAGGGCATGTACAAATCGGTCCAACAGTCGGAAAATCATTATTTGTCTTTTCTGCCTGTCTTTTTTACAAAACATAACCTTTCATATCAAAATACTGTCTTCCCAATATTTTGATACATTAGCCATCCTCTGTGAAAAAAGAAACTTCGTGAACACTAATCAAAAGACGGATACGCTTTGAGCCTCAAATATCTCCCGATTTGAACCCTCTTGACTTCTTTCAAAAAAATCGCGGGATAGCCTTCGCATGCTTTATAAGACGCGAAATATATCTTTGCAGCCACTTTCGAAATGAAAAAGAGTATTTACGACTTTCCCATCGATGGCTGTGACAAAATGAATAAGGATATTTTGTCACCAATTTTAATTAATCAGTAGCGTCCTATTAATATTTGAAGATGTTTCAATAACTGTTGGTTTGGAAAAATGATACCATCAATTTATATTAATGAATGTTGGAGAGCAATAGCAATAGAGATGAAACTCAAATTATCTTCAACAAATCGAAAACATTTTCGAATCACAATTTTTTATACTCAACGATTCTCCAATTCAGACCAGTTCAACCTGAAATACCTTGTATAAGTACTTCATTATGTATTGAAAAGGAATATTCTCAGATATATTATAAACATGAAAAAATGGATACATTTGAATAAATACATTGAGAATTCGCATTCTCTATGTGATGAAATTATTAATTCTTTCTCGGTATATTCAACAGAAAACAACTACTTTCCTGGCTATATGCCACGACGAACATTGAATTATATCAATTGAACATACACGATAGGAATTTGAGCATAAAATGAATATCGTCTGAAATTGAGAATTGACATTCTCTTCCAGAATCGGATGAATACTATGATGAATATAACGATATAAAAAATATATTACTTACCAAATTGGTATGAAAATTGGAATGTATGGGAGAAATATACTAGTATACATACTCTGTTCTTGTTGAGTCGTGAATTTATCAAAAATCATCCGTATCCATGATGTTTGGGATATATGCACATCTCGTGATTGGGTTTTTCTCAATTCAGAATTTCTTTCCACGCCCTGTATGATAAATGTCAGTTTGTCATACATCTAAAACAACTACTTCATTATGGATTAACTCGATTTGTTGTATTTTTTGTAGCTTATCTGGTCGAAATAACTTTCCAAAAACGTTTAGAGAAACCGTTAAAAGACATAAGATTGTTTATTTCTTTAATTTGTTATAATTACACTCTCTCGAGGCTGTCAAATTGAAAACTGTGTCATTTTCGAGGTGATTGAACAGAAGCTTCACTTAAGTTAACATAATATGTGCACACTTACAATCACTAGTCGTCACCTCTGTATGTTCATTTCAGAACCTTTCATTTTATTTTCTTAATATTCACATGCATTTTTCATCCTCTTGTAAACCCTGTGAAGAAAATACTTCCTGAAGACTATTAATAAACAGAAGGAGGTGCTGTATGCCTCCAATATCACCCGATTTGGCCCCCATCGACATTTTTCTAAAAATCACGGGACAGCCTCCGCAAGCATTCTAAGACGCGAAATCACTCTTTTACAGCCACTTTCGACGTGAAAAAGAGCATCTACGACCTCGCCATCGACGGTTACGATACCCAAATCGCCGTGGTGGAGAACCAGGGCATGTACAATTCTGTCCAAGAGTCGGTGGTACGGGTTTACGACGTGGGGCGCAGGCGCGACGACGAGGACGAACAGGTACGGAAATTTAGGCACCGCAGGCGCAGTAGCGTCGGTTCCTTAGACTCGGCTGGTTCTTGCAACACCATTGATATTTTGAGTGATATTTTGAGAAATGCTCACAGCTATTCTTCGGAGATTGATTTCTTCTTTTGAGATTGTTTTGTTGATTGTTGTTGAATGAATCTGTTGTTTTTTTTTTTTCGTTTGTATGCTTTTTAGAGGTTAATATATGGTTGTTTTATTTAGAAGTTCTGGCTTTTTATTCATCCATGACAGCTAAATGCATGTTGAATTCGATGGTTTGGTGCTTAGACTTTTAAACTTAAAATGCGTCAATACCCTACTTTAATTTTTTCGTTCATTCTTTCGACTACTTATCACCTTTGGAATTAGTTTTTTAGTCATTCTGTCAATTCATCCTCATTCAAGTCTGCTCTAACGAATTTATCTTGGCTCAATACATGTTGTACTTGATTGCTTTGACATTTCATTCATTTATCGTTGTTTAGTGTATGTTTCAGTTCAAAAAAGTGTTGGCAAATGGTGTAGTTTCTAAAGATATAGTATACTAGTAGACTCTAGGCAGCAGAAACGGGAAAAATATAAGACTGGTATTCATTCCTCAAATTTATTTTTCTTAGGAAGAAGAAGAAGACGAGGAAGAAGACGATATGGATGGAAGTGACGATGACAACTCTGATAATGATGGTAAGTATTCATAACTCTCCTATATACATACATTCGTGCATTATGGAATAATCATAATGAATTGATCATACATCATTTGGTCCTCTTCTGTTTCACAGCTGAAAAGACCTGAAATAGTATATTACATAGCCAGTTTGGAAAGTGATATATTTCAACATCATTACAACCACTACAATGAGTTATCAAGTGGATAAATAACGGCTTTTTCTTGAATCTCACCAGAACCTATTGAAAAGCTGTTATTTACTAGTTCAATAATTTACTTTTGTGGTTGAAATGATGTGAACATAACCTCAAATCATGAATTCGCGACCTAGCCATCCGTCAAATTCGGTAGGAGGGCGGAGCTTGTGTTGATCACGTGGTTGAAGGTCAAAGTGTTGTGGAATGAACATAGCATATCTACTTATTTGAGCTGTGAGCCATAGCTTGTTCAGTTCCCCTTTGTATATCATCTGTTGAATATCTGAGTGTTATGTCCATTGTCAATCAAGACGAAGCTTCCTAATATTGTAGATCGTAATATGTGAGACTGCAGAGTTTATAATTACTCAAAATATGATACGAATATAAAATATAATTATAATCATTTTCTATGTTCTCTGGATATGTTCCCAAAATATGTGAGCATATTTATGTTGTTGATAGTCATAGAAAAAATCTCTTTCCACACTAGTTCTGTAATATTGACTCACCGCTAAAAAAATCCGGCCATCAAAATATTTGCCCAGTTTTTACTGGCGTTAAATTTCAAGCCGTTTGAAAATTACCGTGGCATCATTGATGATTTTAGCACCTGAAATCGACCGGAAAATTCTTAAAAAATATGAAATTGAAAGGTATTTGAGTGATGATTCTATTCCGATATTCGTGCGGAGATTCCAACAAATTACAAATTTGATTTCCGTGATATTTCCCATACTCATTTCTATTTTCTCATTATAAGAATAGTACAGGGCGAACAATTGGGCTAAATTTTTTGTTGGCCGTTTTTTTTGCCGGTGAGTGTATAACATTGCGCTCTCGAAAGGTCCGATTCCCCTTACTCACGTCGTATTTCTTCCCAAGCTTTCCACACGGACATGGACGGTGACAATAACGACAACAACGACAATAACGACGACGATAACGACGATGACGACGACTTTGACGATGGCGGTGGCAACGACAGCAGCATCAATACGCCGAGCTGGACCAGCTTGTCGAGCAGCAACGAAAGCTCGCTAGATGGCTCCCTTCTGGGAGATTTGCTGTTTGATTACATATAGCTGAACAAACTCGAAATATTCACCGATTGACCGTGTGGAATAGCTCAAATAGCTGTCAGCTGTCAGTCTTCTTGAGCGTTCTGTCAGCTGTCAGTCTTCTTGAGCTTTCTTAGGTTGGTGTCTGTCATTAGCGTCATTGATGTCAAATGTCATTACTGTCAATGATGCCGGGAAATTCGAATCAGTGAAATGGAGGACAGACGGGGTCTTCTAGACGGAAGTCAAGTGAATGTGTGTGCAAGTCCAAACATTTTCACATCACCTGATCTGGAGAGAAATCTAATATTTGATGTGAAGTTTGATGAATGTGAAAAACATCAGACCCCTTTATCTCTACGCCAGTAACCAGGCCGGATGATAACGGATTCATCGAGTAAAGATAAGTCATATAGAAAGACAATCGTGCTTCTTTATTTCTACGCCGGTATCCAGGGCGGATGACAACGAATTTTTTGGATAAATGAAATGCAGGCGATCAAATCTTATGTTCTTATGAATAACGATGGATTCGGCTTCCGGTCATGGTGGTGAACAAGCGGCATCCTTGTGATCTATAGTCGAGTGATAACTTAATCACATGATCGGTTCGATTCTCTAAGAAGTGTTGAATAGGGTGGCTAAATTACTTTTTTAATCACCCCAGATTTTCCACTATTGATATTTGGTATTCTATAAAAACAACATTTATCAATGTGGTTAGTTTTTATACATTTCCACTAAGTGGTATAAATAAAGCTGTGAAGTTAGGCGGCGTTCACAACCAAACTTTTTACGTTTTGCTCTTTACGTTTCGTATTCTGATTGGTGAGGCAAAATCTGTAATTGAAATGACGCAAAAAGCTGAAGATATTCAGCTTTTGGCGTTGCAAGAAGCCATCGTCTGTGAAAATAGTAAAATTAGACAAATGATTCTGTTATAAAAATGGAAAATACTACTGTTAGTTCTGATAGAACAATACATGTATGGAACATTCTATATGGAAGTTATGATAATGTTTTTGCTCATGATTTTTTCGTGAATCCACGGAATATCAGATATGTATACTGTTCATTTTATCATTTTCTTCTTGAGGATTGATTTTTCTCTTCAAGTACTGAATAAGTGTTGAATAAGGATCATTTTACGTCACCGCCAGTTTTATGAATATTATTAATTATCTAATCAATATTATTGTCATGATTATTTAACTTCATTTCAGGATGAAACACAAATGACAAAGCCGAGGCAACTGAGAAAAGCCGTAAAAGTTACGTTAATTTTTTGTTGTGAATGATATTTGCATAAATTTAATTCACGTTTAATTTCAGATTCTGCTTCACCAATCAGAATATGAAAAGTAAAAAGCAAAAAGTAAAATGTTTGGTTGTGAACGCCCTTTTAGTCATTCATCTATTATTTCATTGATTATTGCTATATTTCTGCCTTTTTAACGTCAATTTAACCTAACAATTGATATACTCTACAAGCACTTGGTTGAGACATTGCCACATTAAAATCAGTCCCCATGATAGGATCCTCGCGTGCAAGTAAATGTAAAGCAGCAAGTATCTGAAATACTAGGCGTTAGTTATGAATGTTCTCTAAGTATCCTCTATACTGATATATTACAGAAACTACACTGAGATTTACTCTTACATGTAGTAGAATGAAAGAAGCCAACCAACGTCTTCCATCTGTGGTTCTATCAATGGTATTAAAACCTCTTAAACCAATATTTTTCGAATGTGATAGAATTTCCGAAATTTATGGATGGACTAGTCGAATCTCTCAAAATTCTATTGTTTGTTGCTATCCTTCTAGTGAAATAGGTCATTTTTTTGTTTTCACGAATGATTAGATAGATATTTCATGCTTTCTTTCCGTAGAATTACCTCTTGTGCAACATCTAGCATTACCAGATGAACAACATTTCCTTGAAATAGTGGCCACGTTTATACCATATGGATAGTTGGTATGCTTACCAAGAAGATCTAACTAAATTCAGACCAAATGTCTTAGTTAACGCATGTTTACACCATGTATCTTCAGTTGACTAACGTTACCAACTTTGTTTTGATTTGATTATTTTTTTGAGGTTAGGTTGTGGAACTCTACTTGAATTCGTAAACTAAGAATAAAACCTTTTAGTAGGATACGAAATTAGGTGAAATTGAATGAAATATTATTATGAGAACTCATGAAATAACTGCCACTTGCACTCAAGTCAAGTCAAGGCTATAGGAAAGTAGTCATCAAACCAAGCTGTCAACTTTAACAAGTATGCAGTTTATACCAAACTGACCAAGAGTATTTAGTCAAAATATAGTCATTAGTCAGCTTACCAAGACGATATAAACGTGGCCAGTGTCACATTTTTTTATTAAAAACCTTAGCCACTCCACAAATCACCAGATAAAGCTGGTGGATATCTGCCACTATGAAAAGTGAAAAAAAACATGGCAAGTTGTTATGGTGAATTCATGCACAACTTAGTCCTAACTCAATATTGCCTTAAAAATTATCCATAGGTGTTCATAAACAACTTAACGTAAATATTTACGCATGTGCAGAATCATGTATTTGGGATCTGTTTGTTGAAAATGAAGGAGTACTGTTGTACATGGCTGTACTGAATCTATGACTGAACTGAAGAGTTTTCTGTCGTCAACCATAATGTTATAAACAAAATAACAATATTTTAAACATTCTGAAAAATTAGTTGAAAGTTTGAGCAGAGTGTTTGAGGTTATGGATTATTAAACCTCTATTTACAATTTCTGTTGGCATTGATGCTTGACCATGCGCAGTACGCGATTTGCACGAAGAAATGTGAAATTAAGTTGAAAGTTGGCCAACTTATGACTCTCAAGTTACACTTAAATCTTCAAGTTGCGTGCATGAACGTTATCATGGATTATTCGAATTTCAACTTCTTAAAGTTAGGGTTAAATTGAGTTAGGACTAAGTTACGTCGTGCATGAATACACCATTAATAGAGAGTTGAAGTAATCACTGTACGTAGACGTTAACGTACGAAAAATAACGTTTACGTATTGTCGTTAAATTGAGTTGAAGTCGCCACTTTGTTCGTCACTGTCATCATAACGTAATAATACATTGTGTTTTCGGTTTGTATTGGTCATTTTTTGTTGTGTGTTTAGATTCGAACATTTATTCCTGTCAAAATTATAGGACTCCTTGATGCAGAACTCGTTGGTGATCTCGAATTTGATAATTTTGACTCATCGGCATATTTCGAGTATAGTTTGGTTAACGTACGTTGATATTTAAGGTGTACGTGAAGATAACGTGAGATAACGTACACCCGTAAGCCCACTAACAACGCAAACGTGAAGAATTGGAAAGTGCGCATGCGTAGCTGTCAATTTCTACGTTTACGTTAACGTTCATGACAACACTTCAACTCTAGTATTTTATCCACACTCTTAGTGAATCGGACCGAATGAAGTATTAAAGCTTAATTTTCTGCTAGGCGATTTGGGCTTTGACGATGCTAGCGGTAAACGTGATTATGATATCATTGGTTAATTCGAATTGGTTAGCTGCCATTGACCAATTATAACATCACACGTTTCATCGCTGGCATCGCCAAAGCCAAAATCGCCCAGCAAGAAGGAAACTGAAAGGAGAAGAAGAGAGAGACAGTGAAATGTAAACTCATTACATAACCTGTTCACAAACATCGCAGAAGGATTTGAATTTCTCGTTATCATTGACATTAATGACAGATGACATTGATGACATAAATGACGCTAATGATAGATTGTCATACTAAAAATTTTCCATAATTGCAACAGGTTGTATATGGTCAGTTTGGACTGTTTATAAAGTTGTTATTCTTGCGAATGTTGGTATGGAATTTATGTTGAAGGGGCATTTTTTTTGTAAATACAGTAGGAGGTTTGATCATAGTTTCGTAGTCCTTGAGGATGAGGTCGTATGTTTGTTTCGCAATTTATTGATTCTTAATACGGGGTGTTCAATGTTGAAGCGGCCTAACTTTGAGGAAATTGATAGAATGTAAAATAATTGCGTGTGTTGGTTGTGGAGATATTGGTTTCTGATGTATGGGACATTAATGTTTCTTAAATCGTTTTGTTTGTTCTCAATTTACATACTGGCTTTGGTCTCCGTCTGTTCAAGGATAATATGTCTTGCTTTATGTGCATCTCAAAAATTGTTAAGATCAATTGTTGCTAGGTATGTTACCGAATTATGGTGAATAATTCGACAACAAAAAAAATCTGAAAATGAAATGAGGATATTTTTTCACCAATTTTGATTCATCAGTTGCAGTTACCTATGATATTTTGAGATGGTTCATGATGAATGTTTGAAAGCAATAGCAGAAGGGATGAAAACTGTTCTGCAAATTTCAACGACTCAATATCTACAACAAACAATACGAAAAAACATTTTTGAAATACTATTTATATTCAACAATTATTCTTCAATTTAGACCGGTTTGACCTGGAATACCTCGTATATCTCCATTTCATTTTGAATTTACTTGACTTGTTGCATTTTTTGTAGCTTATCTGATTGAAAATAATTTCTCAAAAAATTGTTAGAGAATTCGTCAAAAGACATTCGATTGTTTACTTTTTTCCATTTGTATTGATTACTCAACTCAGATTTAATTATTGAATAGAAATAAAAATGAAACGTCTCTTGAAGGAACCTAAATAATTTACTTAAGCCCTATCTTTTTTGATTTTTATATGAGGGAACTCCTGAAACATCTTATTATTAATGATTTTTGACTAATTACAAAGATTTTGAAATGGCAAAGCTAGACTAAATTATGCCATTTGTATATTCTACAAATGATTGAATTGAAAAAATATAATATTACTATGTCTGCACATGCCTACAGAATTTTTAGATGGGCACTTATCGATGATTTTTGTGCAATTGTAAGTCGAAGTGCTAACACTTCTATCATTTGTACAACTTTCTTATATAATAGTTATAATTGTACGATTTTTCAAAGGGTATGTCATCGTTTTTCCGTGTGATCTAATTTGTAATATTATAATAGTTGTTTTCTCATAAATTTCCAAGTACCCCTGTATATAGTTCTTATATTTAGGGTTAAGCTGTGAAGAACAATTATTTACGTACTTTAGTTTCGTCAATAAATGATGGTTTATATTTCGATTTTTTCATTCCCTTAAATTGCCATGGGTAAATATGGTTTCTTCCTTCACCCCCGTTACAGAGAATGAGTCAATGTGACAGATCATAAAAATAACTCACTATGCACTGTTTTAACACTAACCAAATCGATTTTTTTACGCCTCGACACGTGTTTCTTTAACTATTTCAGTATGTCCACTTTGTCCACCCAACCGTGAAAGAAACGAATCGCCAAGTTGATGTTATTCATGGTCTTATATCACTAAACTATACTGAGGGCTAAATGGAATAGGTCCATTATCCCTTATCATTACTCTATTACTATTCTTAAATATCTCTCAACTTTCATATGCATCGAATTTCTTAACTTGCTTAACTAATTTAAGGTTATTAATATGTGTGTTATGATTGTGATTGAACATTTATTCGGCTACACACGATTTATCTAACCTACCATATTTCAAATGTGCTAGGTGTTCTTTGAACCTCGTTCTCATGGGTCGCCTGGTTTGACCTATATATGTTTTATCACAATCATTATAACTAATTTCGTATATTCCTGACTTTTCAAGTGTGCCCACCTTATCATTTGGATTACCTAATAAATTGCGTGAGGCATGACCCAGACTGATAAACCAAGTCTTTGAAAAACTTATCAAGTATTTTCATGTACTTGGGATTGAACGGGATTGGACTCGTCTCGAATTCTTTTTATTCGCTTGAAAAGTCGTAGAATTCCGAAGTGTTAACTTAAATTTATGTCTACGTGTTACTTTATCTACTATTTTGATATCGCAACCATTGAAGCCAGCCAATTTATAACAACACTCCTTTCAACATCGAATCTTTGCTCAGAGGAAATGAAAGTAGTCTATGTACTAGGAAATTTAAACTTGCCATCTTGTGTTGAACACAGTGATTGGATTCATCTAGATAAAAGGTTCCAGTCTTTAATATATAAAAATAGCTGTTTAATTAAAGCAGGGAATAGGAAATAAAACAAATTTGTCGATCAATATTATTTTATCAAATGTATGAGTGCAAAATCCTAAAAATTATAAATATTTACAAAAATCTTCACTTTGTCTCTCAAATTATTCATGTTGCAGTCAAAATCCTTGAAACAATGCCCTTTTGTCGGAATTTCTTAACATAAAGAAATGAGCTTATTATTTCAATGTACGTCAACATCCTATGACTAGATTATAAGAATTAAAAAAGAAAGTGATGTGTGAAAATCAATAAATAATTACGTCTATACATATACCTGTTGTGAAGAGTACCCTTTAACTGTAACATTCTCAATATGCTGACTTTGAAAATAAAACAAAAACAATCATATACATGATGAGGATCCGAAATTTAAAAATATATCTGCATTATTCAGAAGCTTCAGTTGGAAAACCCCATCGAATTCAATGAGAGATGATTTTAGGTATATTTGCCTACAAAATTTTGAATTTTTTATTATAGGTACTGGCTAAACGGCTAAAATTTACCCCAGTCCTAGCGCCGTTATTTATTATTGTCTCATTTTTTGAGGAACATTATATGAGGCATCAAATCACAATTCAATTCCATTCAAAAAACATCTTGAGAATCCCAAAACACTTCACCATATTTTCGAATATTATTCTTGTTTTCATCGCGGTCCTATTGTCTATTACTTTTCAACGTCTCAGTTGGGAATATCACTCCAACGATTCTAATGGCAAACACAGAGCTATGAATAGTGCTGAATGATATAATTGATCCACCCTACGTAATTGTGCACTTGAGTATAAATTCCGTATTTGTTCCTCCTGCCGCATCCGTCCCCGAAACTCGTGATGCCCTGTACACTGTACGTGGTGCGCTTGCGCCTTCTACTGGGGCACATCAGGCCTCCGCCGCTGTCCCCGGCGCAAGTATCAGAGCGTCCCGACGCCCAACCGGCGCAAAGCATGTTGTCGCTGATCAGGAACTGCCTGTAGGACTTTCTGCAGGTCTTCGGATGGACTATGGGCAGCTGGGAAAGAAATTACGTATCAGGATTGATAGAGAATCAAAATACCTCTAGAATGAGGGGTCACACGCCCCACTTCATTATTAACTATTTATAGTTGAACATTTCATATGTACGATATCTATCAACTTGAAAGGTAATTGAATATGATGGAGAATCGAATTACCTTTCAAATGAGGGGTCACATGACCTATTTTGTGATCCAAAACTTCTTAGTTGAAAAGTCTCACGAACAGGTTTAATGATCATGAAATGATGTGCAACACTTGTTAGAGAATCTAGAGAAGTTTGAAATGAGGAGTCGCATAAATGGGGTCACATGCCCGACTTCTTTATTAACTAGTTATAGTTGAATATTTCATATTTACGATCTTTATCAACTTGATAGATAATTGAATATGATGGAGAATCGAAATATCTTTCGAATAAGGGGTCACATGACCTATTTTGTGATCCGAAATGTCTTAATTGAAAAGTCTAACGAACAGGTTTAATGATCAAAAATGATGTGCAACAGTTGTTAGAGAATCTAGAGAGGTTTGGAATGAGGAGTCGCATGACAGACTTTGCGATTAAACTTTACTATGAACTAGTTATAGTTGAATATTGCATACATACCAGATTTTTCAACCACGAATTTGATTAAATATGATGCAGAATTGAAATACCTTTCGAATGAGGGGTCACACGACCTATTTTGTAACACGAAAACTCGTAGTTGAATAGTCTCACCAACTTAGTTGCCTTTGATTTATTTAATGACATGCCACAATGGATAGGGAATCAAAAAACCTTCACAATGAGGGGTCGCATGCCCCACTTTGTGACTTTACAAATCATAGTTGAGAAGTCCAAATAGATAAGCTAGATTTTCAATTTTGCTTTCATCCACATCCACATCTTCGAGACGGGCAGATCGAGGTCTGCGACGTTTATATAGGAGCATTTTCAACCTCAAATGTGATCGAATATTATGGAGAATTGAAATACCTTTCGAATGAGGGGTCACACGCCCTATTTTGTAACACGAAAACTCGTAGTTGAATAGTCTCACCAACTTAGTTGCCTTTGATTTATTTAATGACATGCCACAATGGATAGGGAATCAAAAAACCTTCACAATGAGGGGTCGCATGCCTCACTTTGTGACTTGACAAATCATAGTTGAGAAGTCCAAATAGATAAGCTAGATTTTCAATTTTGCTTTCATCCACATCCACAACTTCGAGACGGGCAGATCGAGGTCTGCGACGTTTATATAGGAGAATTTTCAACCTCAAATGTGATCGAATATTATGGAGAATGGAAATACCTTTCGAATGAGGGGTCACACGACATATTTTGTAACACGAAAAATCTTAGTTGAAAAGTCCTACCAACTTAGTTGAGAAGTTAGCCTTTGGTTTATTGAATGACATGCCACAGTTGATAGAGAATCAAAAAAACCTTCATAATGAGGGGACGCATGCCCCACTTCGTGACTTGACAATTCATAGTTGAGAAGTCCAAATAGATAAGCTAGATTTTCAATTTAGTTTTCATCCACTCACCTTGGCCTCGTGCAACACCGGCACCCCGTACACATCCCCCGGATCAATCTTCCCCCACCCCATCACCGAGCACAGCTGGCGCGTGCGTGGCCGTTTGTTGGGCAGACAGGCGACGGGAGTGCGCACAGATTTAGGGAGCATAAGCAGCGCGATGTCGTTCTCGACCGTCTTGAAGTTGAACTTGGGGTGGGGGAACATCTTCGAGACGGGTAGTTCGAGGTCTCCGCCATCAGAGGCGCGCAGATCGTGGACGTTGAGGCGAACCTTGAGGTACTTCCGGATGCAGTGGTTGGCCGTGAGGACCCAGCGCGGGGAGATGAGGGTGCCTCCGCAGAATACTTCCTTGAAATATATAGGGGCTTAATTAATTGAGTATCAATGAATTATTACTCATAGCAGAGCGCTTATTTGGACTGTTAAGTCATCATCAGTGCATACCTGTAAGTAAGTTATTTGCTTTTAGCTATAGGAAAATATTGGAAAATGAAATTTGGCATTGACAAAAAATCTTGCAATTTTATAACAATCAATCACATCTTGCGAGAAATCTGATAATCGTCGATTGAACACTGATTGCAACATAAGGAAAAAATCCTTACCCTATATTGGTTCAAAACTGCTACATGCCACGGCCATTTGTACCTCTTAGCTTCTGTACCTCCAATAATTTTCAACATTTTCGATTTCCTACTTGCTATACCACACTTCTTCTCACTGTAATTATTTCTTCTAGGTTTACTCACTACAGTATCTTCATCATTATTACTATATTCATACCTCCTATTATCTGAAATCACCAAAAATCAAAGAAATGGAAACTTGAGAACCAATTAATCATTACCATGAAAATTGTTTTGGTTGCCCATCAAGTTGAGTACGTAAACTTCACAGTTGGATTTTTCGTGATAGCAATAAGCGTCTTCCCTTTGTATTTCCTTGTTACATCGTCCTGGTTTTTTGCATCTTCTCATTCTAAAAGTCCTGCAATCCACAGTACAAGTCCACCACTCGGACCATCTACTCCAAATGTCCGCAGGTGCTTGTTTTATCAAATACCTGCTGCTCTGGAACAAAAGTGTCATAAATGAAACGGTTGAGGTTCCTCAAGGGTCCATTCTGGGGCCACTACTCCCCGACCATCTATAACTCCGCCTACCAAACACAATTTAATGCAAGAAATACGTGTTTTCAAGGCCTTAAATGCAAATTCAAAAAATCAAACCTCGTTTTTGGATGTACGACAAATTGATATTCATTATACAGGACGTGGTGAATTTTATTCATTTTTCGTGCTCTCCTTTTGAATGTTCAACAGATTTCAAATTCTTATCGTGTGTGTGCAATAGATATAATTCAATGTTCGTCGTGGCATATAGCCAGGAAAGTTGTTGTTTTCTGTTGAATACACCGAGAAAGAATTGATATTTTCTTCACATTATATATATATATATATTTATTCATGTTCATGATTTTATCTGAGAATATTCCATCTCAATGAATCTAACCTCGTTTAGGTGAACGATATTGAACGTTTCCTTCATTTTGCGTTTTCTTTTGCATCTTTTCTTTTGACAAGGCCTTTCCTCGTACATTCTGGATCCATAGCAAGCGATACTTATGCAAACTTTCATCCTTCTTTGGATGCAGTCTTGACACCTGCTCCAGGAAGTCCATTCTGAGAAGGCCTCGCTTGTGTCGTTGCTCGAAAAAGGCGATCTAGTAGGGTCTTGTAGGGTCTTTAAGGACCTAGGGTGATTGTGACGTGTGGCATTTGATTTCTGAAATGAAAAACAATATTGAATATGATGGAGTCGAAGAGAATTGAAGATTTCTTAAAGGCCTCGTTTTTTTTTATTTTTGTAACTTGATGGAAATCCACAGTGATTTTACAGGGTGTTTGTTTAATATTGCACGAAACTTTTGTGGGTCGAAATAAGGAAAAAGTTCATATAAACATATGACCGAAAACGATTCGTTTCCGAGATACAGGATGTTGATAGTGTTGAAGTTTCTTTAAAAAATAGATTTTTCATTGATTTTCAAAATATTCCTGAACCTATAGTGATAAAATTCACAATGTATGTTGAAATCTCAATGAGGTATTTTTTGAACATATTACAGTTGAAGTATTACCAGGGGCGTGCCCACGGGGCAAGTCCAATAGTTTTTTTTGCTAAAAAAATAGCACCCAGTAGATTTTTTTTCAAATGTTTCAAATTTTTTTGATTGAATAAGCAAATCAAAATACGTCTTTCTTGGCTACAGATTTTTTTGCAAAGGCCTTCGTTTTATAGAGAAAAACAATTAAAACCAAACCTATATGGAGCCCGTAGAGGTATAATTTTTTAGTTACAGTACCTATGAACTGAAAGTGATCACGTTTGGTACCTTCATCAACTGAATGAATGACATAACAGTTGTTGAAAATTTCCTCCCCAAATTTCAATACATGTATCTCGGAAACGAATCGTTTTCGGTCATATTTTTATATGATTTTTCTTTCTTATTTCCATATTAATGAAACGCCCTGTTTACTGATGGTAGATCACGAAAAACAGCATAACCCTGGTGACTTTTGAGAAGTTTAAAAAGAAATTATGAAAGTTTGACAGATATATCATCTGTTGATTGAGTCACTGAAATTTTGATTTTCGATTAAAAAACATCCCACCAACTTTTTCTAGATTTCGAGGGATCTTTAACAGAGAATATTTTCATCTTATTGTATCACATTAAAATTATGGATATATTCCGGTATAGACTTTTAAATACCAACAATAGAACGAAAATACCAACCATACAAAGGGACTGACACAAAGAAAGTTTTTCTATGAGATCTTGTCAGTTCAGAATCTATTGTAAACAGAGATTTAGTATGTTTAGATTCCCCCGTCATCATTAGTTGAAACCAGAGGATTTAATCTACATGATTTATGGCTACCACTTACCAGGGTGGTTTCTAGCCGTATACAGGGTGACTCGTTTTCAAAACTTCGACTATAACATTCACATGTAGGGATCTTGATATTTTATTGATAGTAATACACAGGGTGAGTCATGACTAACCAGCCATAGCCTATAACGGCGGATAGAGGAAGTCAAGGTGAGTTGATATACAGGGTGTTTCAAAAAAACCTGACCTCCTTACTAGGGTAGGTAGAACACTGCAAAATAAGTTGGGTATATTCAGTTAAAAAAACTCCGTAACGGCATCCGTTATCAAGATACAAGGTGTTGAAAAAATGATTTTTTCACACACTTTTCAAGATTATGTCGAAATTACTGGCAACATTGTAGTGAATTTTTGTATGGATGTTTCTTGGAATCTGACACATCGCATTTTTTTCTTTATATCTGACTCTCAAAGGCGGCGCTAGTTCCACGGTTCGTACCGAGTATTTTTGAACATAACTTTTTTGAGGTTGGATTTTTCGATCCAAATTCGATGTGAACTTGAACATCATTCAATTCCACACCAAAATGGTACTCTTGGTAAAACTCGATACTGTGTTCCGTTCTCAGAATATTTCGATTTGAAAATGATGTTACCACTTGGTAACTGTTGTTACTTTGAACTCGCATCAGTGTTACTCTTCAGCATTTTCAAATCGAAATATCCCAAAAACGGTACATAGTATCAAGTTCGACCAAGTGCACCTTTTCAGTGTAAACTTTAATGATGTTCAAGTTCACCTTGAATTAGGACTGAAAAATCTAACCTCAAAAGAGTTATGTTCAAAAGAACTCGGTACGAACCGTGTAACTAGCGCTCTCTATGAGTGTCAGATATAAAAACAAATTCATGCGGTGCGTCAGCTTTCAGAACAAATCCATACAAAATGTCATCACAATGTTGCCAGTAGTTTCGACATAATCATAAAAAATGTGTAAAAAAAATATTTTTTCACCAAGCAAACCCGACTTATTCCTACCCAAGCAAGGGGGTCACGTATTTTATAAACACCCTGTATATCAACTCATCTTGACTTCCTCTATCCGTCATCAGGCTATGGCTGGTTAGTCATGACTCACCCTGTATAAATTGCTGAATCTAGTATATCATTTCAGATTGAATCCTATAAATATTTGTCAGGGTTTGTATAGTTTCTGTGACCTTGAGATCTCCCATAAAGAGCTAATCATAATATAAAATTGTCGACGACTTGTAGCGAACAATTACTGTCCATTTATAGATCATAATATATCTCTCGACCATCAATGAACAACTAGTCCATAGTCGGCCGATCTAAATTCAGAATAATAATAAGCAACGTGGGAAGCACCCAACAATTTCCTATGCAAATCCACGTCATTGGCAGATTATCCCAGCAATTCCGTATCAAACAAAGAAATTGCGAGTAGTCGAATTGCCATTTCCGCTAATTTCCTCTTTGATTGCCCATCATCGACATGGAGTTCAATATTCTGTGACCCAGTTCATTCTATTATCCGCTCCATTGGCGATTCCTAAGTAGGTTTTGCCAGTTTGTAGTTGGTCGGGATGAGATCAGAAGAGAAAGACCCGTTTTTTCCCAACTGTGAGAGTTTCGAATCTTATGAAGTCGTCCTCAAGGAACCATAACGATTATTCAGCAATTTTATTCACAACATGAAAACACTTTGTAATATTCGGTTTTCTGGAAGGTTCGTACATAATATACGCGTAAATTATTCAAAGTTACTCTCGGGATATCGGGATATCACTATACAGGCTGATTCACGGTGGATGGCACATTAGACGTTTCTAGAGAACGCAACGTAGGATTATTTTGAAAATTTGGTTCCTTGGATAATTAGTTGCCGCTTATATTGAAAAGTAGCATCAACTTTGATTTTTCAAATGGGACACCCTTTATATTATTCCATTTTCAGATTCTCCCTGAAGAGCCGATTTCATCGATCTATCACACTTGGGGTCTAGCGGGAATGATAACAGAGAAATGGGGTGTGAAAAATCGAGATTTTTCAACTTTAAGAATTATATACTTTTTACTCGATTTCACTGCATATGTTGAGAACTTTACAAACGATCATAGATTTGATGACATTTTCAACATTTCATTTCCAGAAAATGAAGCAATAAAATTTAATCATTTGGAATAACTTGAAATCACAAACGAAAAAATTCATACATTTTACTTATGGATAAAGATATTGCGTGGATATTGTCCAAAATAAAATGGATTAGCTAGCCTGTTCAAGGGTCATTCTAATCCTTTGAGTTTGTGAGTGTATACAGTGTGTCTATATACTATCACACTAATTCTTCAAAACTTGAAAATTAATTTATATCTTGTATGTACAAACAACATCCTGCGTGCATGATAATTACAAACAAATTATACTGAATATAAGTGGTCTAGGAAAATCTCTGAAAATAATTGTGATGGTAAAAAATATTTTGTAAATCAATGTTTTCAGGGAAAATAGATAAACGCCTGCTATTTCATGATATATCATCGTGCAAATTGAAACATACGTTTTTCAGCAACATCTCAACATGATATAATGACATGGGTATTTTTTTTTCGCTGAGAAAATGCTTGAGATATTCAACACAGACTTTTTGCATTTCGAATCAATGAGAACTCGATAATGTTGAGTACTTACATATTGTGTGAAATAAGTTTGAAATCGGTCAACGAATAAGAAAGTACAGGAGTGGTGCTGCTCAAGAAGAGACACACTGTATAGTTTTGCCATTATAGGGATTTTCTTTCGTGCGCTCTCAGAGATTTTAAATAGTCAATGTTAGGTCAATTCATTGTACGAGTTTTACAAGTGTTCTAAATTTTCTATATGGAATTCTATCAAAAATATTTGTTGTGTCGATACAACTTTCAGAGATATTGAAATTCACCACTCCAGACTAGCATTCTTATTTCAATTTAAAAATAGAATCTTTGTGATTGTAATCTACTACCGAAACACATGTGTATAGGTACCGAATTTATTCTTTGTTGTCAGTTCTACAGATAAATGGTTTGAATTCCAGAAGATCACAGAGGAACATACGTTGAAATATTTGAACAATTTCGTTTTTCTTTTCTTACTGATTCGAGTCTTCCTTTTCGGTCTAGAAATTACCAATGTTCGCTCTTATTGCTTCGAACGAAATGAAGACCATAGGGGAAAACGGGGGAATGTCACAACTCACAATATACAGGGTGGTCCGTTTTTTAATACGGAAAATTCAACAGCGTATAGTACTCGTTGAAATAATAAATAAACTTCCTATGAACATATACTTTCAAACGCTCCGTTTTCGAGATATAGGGTGTTCAAGTTTCGTTCTTTTCTAGAACTGATTTGTTGGTTACCACCAAAAAATCTAAGAATGTGATTGTTATCATTTCTTCTCAGTTGGCCATCATTTCGGTATTGTTCATTATTGCCACGTAACCCAAACTGATGGAAACGTGAGTGTGTATTGATAAAGACTCGTGCATTAGGTACCCTTCTCCGATTTCTGTATTCCCGAACTGCTGCTTCTGCGTTTCCATTACAAAATCCGTAAACGAAATGAATATCTGCGATAATCTGCATACTCTTCAGTACTGAATCCCATAGGCATATTGACAAACGGCAAAATTTGAATAAAATTATTACACTTTCGGATAAAAACACGGAATAATTCCAGTTTGTTATTTCTTTGACAGAACTTTCAGAGTGACAGCACATATAAACAGTGAACTGTGAGCAACTGAGCATAGCCTACTTCTTTAATTGATATCAAGTAGTATTATTCAACTAATTTATTTTATCTACCGTTTTTAAC